GAGGGTTTACAACCGAGCCTTAAAATTTGGATCATCGGTTTAAAAATACACTTTTAGATTGAGAATAATTCTGGAAGAAATTAGTGCCCCTAATACCACTGAAAAGCACCTTGCATTCCTATGAGTCCCCTTTGACTCTAGGGAGTCATCTTTGGCTGAGTGTGTCCCAGAATATCCAAATGTGGCCCCAAATTTCTCTGGTCTGGCTGATTCCTTAGGGGCTGGGCTGGATGGGCAGCAGGACCTCAGCTTAGCAAAGCTCCTGAGCTGTCTGGTTGAACCACCTCAATGGGCTGAACCTACTAAAAATACTGTGTCTAAAGAAGGGGCAGCACAGGGTGCCAGGGTGGGGTGGTTCCCCTGCGTTATGTGCAGGGCCAGGTAATGCTGAAACCTCTCCCAAATCCAGCGTCTGTGTCTCCTGCAAGAGACACCCTGAGAACTGTGAGTATGCCCATGCAGTTGAGGCTGTTGGCTTTAGGTCATACTCCTTGGGATGGGCTGGGACTACAGCATTGCCCATCACTTGTTGATTCAGTGGGCTCAGTGCTGGAACAGAGCAAAAAGCTTTATACAGATTTTAAGTATTCATTTTACATTGCAATCAGTGTGTTTGCCTTACAGGGTTGAACATCATCTTTCTGCCTTTGTTTACAAGAGGCTCTAATATCTGTGGTATTTAAAGAGTTCTTGCTCTGTCAAATTTGTTGTGATTATTCATTTCGAGAAATGGTCAGTCTACAGCTATTTCTCTTCATACCTTTGCCTGATTGCAGTCTATCCCAGGAGAGGTCAAAAACAATCAAGTGCTGTCCAGGTGAGAAAAATTAACTTTTTAACCTTCTGTTTTCTCCAGAGACCTGGGTTAGGCTGAGGTTTAACCACTGGTGCAGAGGGTTGCAGGCATGCTGTGTGGAGGGCTGCTTTAACATAGTTTTGTTCTGTTTGGAAGGGTTTACAGCAAGGTCACTTTATTTTCCACACACAGGCCATTTCCTATCACTCAGAGCGATGCAGGGACTGGCTAAAAAGAAAAAGGAATAATAATTGCTATGACAGATCTTATAGTTTTGTAATGCATTGTTGGTTGTTCCTTACTAACTGGTCCCATTTCTTCCAAGATGAGCTGATTATCTCTCTGACCTCCCAGCATAAATGTCAGTGGAGGCAATCCAGATTTGCTTCCATTTTGTGTCCCCCAGGGTGATGTGGTCCAGGATGGCAGGGGGATGTCAGGGAGCTGGCTCTGGTGTCCCTGGAGGCTGTTCTTCCCAGGGCCTCACTGCGCTCAGGAGAGCACAAGGAGGACAGGCTTTGCAAGAGGACGGACCTGGCCTGGGCCATCAGTGCAAGTGGAGCAGCTTTTTAAAGTCAAAATTGCTATCCAGAAAGCCTGGCTCAATACCCAGCTTGCTCTGCTTGAACTCGCTTCACCATTATCTCCCACCAGCACCCACACTGCATTCAGAAATAAGGAATTATTTCTGCCTTAACATGGGGCTGGTGTTGTGAGTCTGCTGCATGGCCTTGGAGGTGACCCACCATGGGGCAGGGGACTGCCCTGGGTGGGACAGCTGGGGTCAGGCCCTTGCCTGGGAACTGCAGGGCTGGGGTCACCTTTAACCTTGAGTGCAACAGAGGGGGGACAGGGTCACCCTGTGGGGCTGGGGACTGCACTGGGGATGGGGTCACACCATGAAGCTGGGTACTGCAGTGGGTGCCAGAGGTGACCTTGTGGGGCTGGGGGCTGCACTGGAGTGCCCTATAGGGCCCCCAGTAGATCTCGGAGCTCTCCCTACAGCACTGCTGCTGACCAATCCCCACACAGAATGCGGTTCTCCACCAACCCCCTGGTTCCACCTAACCCCACCCTCTGGCCAATCCCAGCCCTACCCGGGGTATTTAAGCTCTGCCCCAGGCAAGCCCCTCAGTGTAGTTGTTGTTGTTGTTCTGGGTGCTTTATGGCTCTGTTTGTGTAGGGCTTTGTTCATCTGTGCTCTCTGCCTTGACACCAAAGACCATGGAGATTCTGTAGGTAGAAAAGCCTGTCCCAATGCGGGAGGCTGTGCACAGCAGCTGGTTCCCCAGGGAGGTTGTTCTCGGTTAGGCTAAGGCTGGGGGAGTGCTCATGGCCATGCAAGAGAGGGTCAAGTCCCTGTTGCAGCTTCTGCAAAATCTTTGCCTCATAAGATGTGCCACGTGAAGTGCTGTGCTTAATGCTGTCTTTCTGGTGGTACTGAGGAACACCAAGCTTGCTGAACCTGTAAGTGATTAACTCTTTAACAAGGCACCATTATAGGGGACACCTGCTGCAGGCAGTGCTGTGGCAGGGAGCAGGGGCCTGTGTGGAGCATCACTCAGACTCTCCTTCCCATTACCACCAGCTCTGTGTGGCTGTCTACATCTTGGGCTGGTAGTGCAGTGTTAGCCTGGGGTGCAGAAGCTTTACTTGTCCCTTTCTGTGACATCACTAGAAGCAGGTGCCATCTCCTACCTGTCAGATTTTCCCTTTCCATGCTCAGCATCAAGTATCTTCAAGGTCTTGTTATGTGGAGGTTTTGGTTAAGTGAATATCAACAAGGTTGGCTGATGCCACCTTTGCACACACAAGTAGGAGCGGATTGCATACCACACAAAGTTTGCCACCTAACAAAGTATAGGTGAAACAGTGTCATTCTCGCTCTTCCTCTCAAGGTTAGGGAATCAAAACAACGGTAGATCTCATGACAGCAAAAGAAGGAATTCAAGTGGAATTGAGTTGTCAATCCAAAAGTCTGTGTCAAGTAGTGAAGGCTAATACAATGTGTCCTTGGTAATGTGGTCCTCTTATCTTAAACAAGGTATTTGGAATAACAGAGCTAGTTACTTCCTCAGATAAGGGAGGGAAAGGCAGGGAACTGCAGGTGAGCTATGGAGATCAAAATCACTGGCACTGAGCTCTCAAGTGCTCAGGAATGAGCCTGGAGACAGCAAATGGCCGAAGTGTTGATGTGCAGACACCTGTATGATTCCAGGCTGTTTAGGAACAGTACAGGCTTCCCAGTGAAAAATCATGGTGGGTAAATCCCCAGATCTCTGAAGCAAGGTGGTGTCCATAACTACTGGATATGTATGGCCTTGGAGTAAATACTAGCAGAACACAGAGGGAAACTTGAAGAAAATCTGTTTTGAGGCAAAATTAGCAACTCTTTGTATTTCCATTATGTGAAATAAGTCTAGAATTCTGACAATATGTATGATGCTTTCTATAAAATCCCATTTTAATCAGTGATGACAGTTTGACATTTTTCCAGCTGCTTAGGAGCACTAGACAGTCAAGTATCTCAGTAGGGCACAGGTTGGCATGCTGGGATGTATTTAAGCTTTAACTTTCCTCCCACTCACTGACTTACAATGGTATTCGAAAAACAGGAGGGGAAAAAAAGGCTTTTTGCAGGCTTCACACTAGCTTGTGCCATCTGTGTTTTTAGTCTTGCCTTGTAGAAGTAAAATCTTCACTTTGAAAGTGTATCCAGATGCTGCCAGCTAATATTATCGTTCTCAGTAGCAAGTGAGGATTTTATTTATAAAGTGTCCTGGCCTTTGCTGAACAATTCATGGTTCTGCACACTTGAGGGACATATAAATAGCAATTAAAACACAGTTTAGAGTAATGCTTAGGCTCTTAAAGAAAGTGACATCAATTTAAAGGAGGGGATAATGTGCT